ATACACACACACACATACACACACACACATACACAAAGAAATATAAAAATAAACAACTCATTCTCTCTTATATTTGTTGCAAAAGGTTTCAATTTGCTAACACTTCAGGATATGGCCTGCTTGATTTATATACCTCATTTAAATCTGCGAGGAAATCTCTTTTCCTCTTTGTCCCGCTGTGGGCTGGTCAGAATGAAAGCGCTACAAAGCTTCCAATCAATACCCTATGACACTCTCTGGCATCACCACCACTGAGATAAATCTGACTGTTCTCATAATTACCTTGTTGCGCTTGTGTCATTCCCCACTTTCTTAAAGGTACACCTGACCTTGTTTTGAGTCATGGATCATTTAGTGGAGTGCATACATTGTCTTCTAGTGCAATTTCAGACAATTTACACATCTCCACTGTCGATTATAATCCACAATAGTCAAACTCAAATAACTAAATAAATACCAGTCCAGACACAAATAATACCATTTGCCATTACCATTTAAAAACGCCAGCTGGCTGCCCTTTACATTGTGTGAACAGTTTGTGATGATTAATAATCTTGCTACATTAATGTATGTTAAAGTTAAAGCAGAATTCCACCAATTTTTCAAAGTTTCTACATACGTCACCTGTTGAGATATAAGCAGTCATTGAGAGTTGTTTGATGTGGAAATGGTGTATCGTAGAGAAACTTACAGTCGCACTGTCTACAACTCAAATATAGCCAAAATGACCAGTGAACCTACATGTGTCTTCTGAGTTTTAGATTTAATGTTAATGATGATAAAATGGTGGAAAATCTGAAAATCTGTTTCCTTTGGGGGCTATTTTGCCATGGAATGCCCTGCATGTACCTCTCCACCATTACGGGACTACAGTTAGGCCAAAACCTTCTCATAAAAAAGTGTCTCACATAATAGCATCAGACAGCATATTGATAAGCATTTCATGTATGAGCTTTCTGTGAGGGAACTTTTAGAAGCATTAAATGTTTCACATGTTTGGTTCCTATCACCACCACTGTGAACAATTCTGACTCGACAAGCTTCTCTGGAATGGAGCATTTCACATCAAACCACTCTGGATGACTCTTAACTATCTAATTATGCAGAACTGTTGGAAAATCTGAGGAATTCTCTTTCAAGAATGTCATTTCTTTCTCTTATAACACGATACAAGGTTTTCTTATGACATAACTGACCTGAAAAACTCCCTAATTAGGCCCATAGCCTACAGAAGATGCACACATGCTTTATGTTGGCCCCAGCTTAGCATGGCCATGGGAATCTGATACATCGCCACGACAACAGGCCCCACAGACAAAGGATTCCATTGTCCCCTGAGGAATAACAGGATACAACAAGCCCACTCATACACACACTCTCTCTCTCACACACACACACACACACATACACAAAAGATACCCAAAGGACACACAGTGACAGCTGTGTACCCCAGTCATCAGAGTCTGTGTGTCACTCCTGAGTATGATTTTCCCAGGACATATACTCACACACACTACACACACCACGGAGTGAACACCAAGAGGAGAGAGAGCCTTAAGTCTTTCCCCCTGGGTGGGTCCTTCGGCCCATCTGTCATACCCAAAAGCTCTGCTGTACACTTTCTCACACGCAGACAGTGTTACGTTGTGTGTGCGTGTGCCTGCGTGAGTGGGTAATACTGCAGTGCTTCTAAATCTGTTCCCTTCAACTCCCACACATTATCGCAATATGGGCTAAAGAGAGTGCATAACCAGCCTCACACACACCTCATACACTCACCCACACATCCTTAATCTACCCTTTGTAGAGTGGAGTCTTCAGCTGTGTCACCTCACTCTCAAAATAACATCCCACAGTCAAACAGGCCGGATAGGCATGTGTCTCCCACTCTACACACAGATAGCAGTGTCTAGGCACACACACACGCTGAACACTGATGAAGTCAAAACCTTCAGACAAAGATTGCTCACGAAGATGATATAGAGAAGAGGAAGAGAGAGGGGGGGGCGGTATTCTGTCTATATAGTGGTGCTCCTTGTTGCTAAGTCTCATTACAGATAAGTTCTTGCTTGCAAACTAAACTGTCACAATTACTTGATTAAAACCGGTTACTCAAAAATGTATGTTCTTAATAAATTGGCTTAGTAATTAATTTGCATTTTGAATACTAAACAGAGCGTCTGGGGGTCACTGTAAAGCCATTAGCCTTTACTGAAGGATTCACTGTAAAAAAAAAAAGCTTACAAAATCTGGAATAGGTCACCTGCTTGGCTGTCACAAGACCTATGTTTAAACAGAGCTGGCCTAAGTGGTATTAATCCCTGTGTGGGAAGTGAACACCAACACTAACTTGATCATATTAAAACACTGAAATTCTCATAGAAGCACTTGCAGAATTCGCATTTTCATAGTGGTGGTACTCATGCTACTTATTAAGTGAACGTTTCTGAGGTTAACTCTATTTTATAGTGATATGTAACGTGGTGACAAGTTCATAAAATGACTCGCTCAAAGTAACATTACTGAGTTCTCAAAATGTCATCAAAAATGACCCAAAATACATTAAATTTCAGTTGGACAGTTTAAAAACAGAAACACTTTTTTATGCATTTTTGCACAGGCGACTTGTATTTTGGAATCTTTGAAAAGCTTTGCATAATTTATTATTGTTCAGTTAAATCTGTTCAGTTAAGACTGTTTGGTTTTTTTTTTATTTAATTGTCAAAATAATTGCTAGGTTACTCAGTTGGTCAATTGATAGTGACAGCCCTATCGCACACACATACACACAATGTTGACAAAATACTAGTAAACTAGATATTGTTACAGACTGGTCTGCCTCAGTTTGACCTAAATAATTTACACTTGTTGGATTACAATGAATATCTTAACTCCCCAAAAACACCCACAGACACATTAATCTGGAAATATGATTGGTCAGGATGTTCGCAACACCAAGAAAGAATGTTGTGATTGCTGAGAAAGCTGATTTGTATATTGCAGCTTTCTGCAATATCAATATCGCAAAGGCCAATGTCACTATAATGATTAACAAATGGAATACTGCACAGCCCTAATACACACACACACACACACACACACACACAGAGTGGAAGAGCAGCATTTTACTGCTCTAGGCCAAAATCATGCATCCCTTTAATGTTACCATGGAGACAAGTACACATATCCCTTTAACATCACCATGGAGACACAGTTCCCATAAGGAACAGGTAGAACAGTCCTCTAGTAATGATCTACTTTCAAAGTTACACCAGCTGAAGAACAAGGAATATCCTGTTCATCTGACACAGCTCTTATGGAGTGACCAAGAAACACTTTCTTCTCAGCCTGCAGTGAATCTGCTCTGTGACTGAAGTCTTCTAGATCAATCACAGGGCATTTGTAATGAGATGATTACAGATCTGAGGGTTATTATCTTTCATTCACTCAGATAACAGCGCTTCCCTTCCCTGTCCGCTCTGTTTGGTCTAAATCACAGTTCGCTCCTTTTCGCTCGTGCTCTGAATTTTAACACGAACAGTGCCACCGCCTCTGCTCTTCACTGCCACATTCCTGTCACAACTTATTAAGCGGTGAACACTCTGAGTGCCATTCCACCATAGCACACTAGTGACCAACAATCACACCCTCAGAGGAATTCTCACAGTGGCCATCTTGACAGGATTCTTGATGGAGTAGAGAGATTCTGCACAGTGAAATCCCCATTTCTGAACCTGAAAGGTATACATTACCTTCTATAGAGTGAAAAAGAGCCCAGTCTAGGACAAGTGTAGACCAGTGGGTCTCAATCCTGGTCCTAAAGTACCCCTGCTTTTCACAATTTAGTGTTTTTCTTGCTCTTGGACCCCTACTTTAACTCAGGAGAGGCCTGCTGATTAGCTGATTAGTGGGATCAAGGGTATACCAGAACCAGAGCTGGGAACCACTAGTGGAGAGTGATGTACACAAGTTTAACTGTAAGGATGCAGTCATTCAAATACTAAAGAAATTTTTCATATTCTGTGAGGTTCCTTACAGTCTGAAGACCCAATCAATAAAGCAATGACAAGAACACAACATATTTGCCACCTTCCACTGTCACATTCTCCTAAACAACACTTCTGGGTTCAGATTTGGAGAATCCTTAAATGCCAAGCTCTTTACTTTCTGTGAAGAACCTCTCCTGGGTTCTTCACAGAAAGTAAATGAAACCTTAAATGTGCCAAAATGGCCACTTTATCAGAAACATCTACTTCACAGATCTACCTAGCTGGTGTACAGTTAGAGCCTGTCTGTTGCCATGCTAAACTTGTGTTAACCACCCTCTAGACCAGTGGTGTCCAATTTTATCTGCAGAGGGCCAGTGTGGCTGCAGGTTTTCACTCCAACAAAGCAGGAGGTCACCTGATGAAATGTTTAAAGACTAAGACCGACTGATTAAACAAGAGGAATCAGGTGTGCTTCAGCTTGTTTGGTGTGAAAACCTGCAGCCACACCAGGTCTTCTTGGATAAGATTGGACATCCCTGCTATAGACCTTCATCAAGAAACAGTTTCTGACCACAGATCAGCTTTTTGATGGATATTTGTGAATTGTCGAACACTCTCAACCCAGCAGTGACAATGATAGGCGTAACAAAAACAGGAACGTGTGACTGGTCCACTCATACCATCACCTCACACCCTGCCATGCCACTGCTGTCACAGCTGTTTTGAGAATGGTCTATACCATCTCGTCAAATTCAGCAGGTCTGTGGTGAAAAACTGCCCACTGCTGAATGGTGGCTGATAGAGTGTGTGCATCACAACAGAGGGGCCACATTTAGTGTCTGTACACCTAGATAGTGGACCTTAAGGTGGGCCTCACAAAGTGGCCAGTGAATGGAAGCACAGAGTTGGTGTTTCTTATAAAGCAGACAGTGAAAGCGGTCACAAGCGCACTTCCAGCCATTCATCCTACTGACATCCGCTTCATCCTTCACGCTCTGCTCCGCTCCTCACCTTGTGCAGTTTCCACATGGCCCCGAGTGCCTTGACCTCGTGCGCGGAGTGCCTACCCTCCTCCAGGCACTGGTAGCAAACAGGCGTCTTACACTGCACGCAGTACATGCTGAGGTTCTCCAGCTCGTGCTCCGTGCACGTAGAGGTCTTGCGCGGGCTCGCGCGACGGCTGATGCGCCCTTGCGCGGGTGGCACGAGCCGGTGCTTGGCGAGCGGGCCGCGCGGCGGGTGGCAGCGCACGCGACACGCGTCGCAGTAGAAGACGTCGCACTGCTCGCACAGCACCGTGGCCTCGCGAGGGCTTTTTTCGCAGAGCTGGCAGCGCAGCGCCGCCGCCTTGCTCTGCTGGTAGCGCTCCACCACCGCCTCGAGCACCCGGTTCTTGGGGAAGCCGCGCAGGCCGCGCTCGTCCAGCGTCAGGCTGCGGTGGCACTGCGGGCACGTGAGGCACGCGTTGCGCGGGATCATCATCATCATCATGGCGGGAGGATGAGGATGAGGATGAGGAGGAGGAGGAGGCGCGCCGGGGGCGGCCGGCGGAGGCAGCAGGTGGTGCTGCTGCTGCTGGGGGGGCGGCGCGGCCGGCGGGAATACGCGCACACCCGTTGGGGGACTTGGGGCACGGCGTGGTGGGCGCGCTTGCGAAGCCTCCGTACGAGCCATAGCCACTGTCCGCCTCGCTGTACAGGCTCATCTTGTCCAGGTCCAGGTAGTCATAGTCGGACGCGGCAGAGCCCGAGGCGCGAGCGCTCTGAGGCGACTCAGCGTCCGGCGTCTGCACCAAGATGTTCCGCGCGCACGCCAGGCAGATGTTGTGCGAGCACGGCAGGATGATGGGCTCGCGGAAAAACGAGCCGCAGACCGGACACTTCAGCTCCTCTTCCATCTCGTCCATCTTGGCCAAAATAATGAAGCTCGGGATGAAAAAAAAAACAACAAGCGCTACCGTCACCGTCACTCTGCCTCTGTTCCGCTGCCCTCCGTCCTCGGAATGCGCGCAGAGACCCGGAGGAGGGGAGCTTTATAGCGCGGGCGGAGACACAGCACAGGCCCTGTCCTCAGCCAGTAACTGAAGACCACAGTTAACGGCTATTCGCCAAAGAAGCTGCCAGCTAAAGTGAAGCAACCAATCAGCGTGCAGCGAGATGGGGCCCGGCGTCCAGACTAAAGCACTCCTACTGATACGACTCACTGCACTTTTAAAGACACGACGGCTTAAGACGTGACAACAAAGCGAAATTAGGCAGTTCTCAGACCCTGCACTACAGTGGCTGCGTCCCAAACCGCGCGCTTCTGCTCTAAATAGGATGCCAAAATAGTACTCCAAGAAGATTAGTGTGCCTGAAACTACAGTGCTCATCAAAACAGGATGTAAAAACTACACAAATACCATAATACACCTGGTCAAAATCCAAAATGTGCAAATACTTGATACTGTTCAATTCTAGGAGGCAGGAGGGACAGTTGGTCACCTTGATAATGACTGTAACTATTCATAATAACATAATATGTTACATTAATGCACTATCTATATGTTGGAATCTAGCCAAAACATTTTCACATAAATATATACGTACAATGTTTATTAGGGTTAAAATTTTAGAGGTTGTATGGGTAACCATCTGTGATATAGTGTGTTTAAAAAGTCTCACACTCAATTGAATGCTGTACTAAGTAAGTGGGAGAACTGTATAGAACTGTTGTAAATATGTACAGCACTGTGCAAATATCAGAGACCACCCTTCCTTTATTGAAGTTCCAGTCAAAATATTTAATAAGTACAACTCAAGGAGATAGTGGTTGACAGAAGTTCAAAAGAAAAAAAAAATATGACATGGTGCAGAGAAAATGGGACTTCCAGCAACTATGCAAGACCTGGTAGACCACCAGCACTGTTACCATCTGATAAAGAGTACTTAAACCTTTAAACTTTAAAAGATAAGGAAAAATCAATCTGAAAAAATCCACAGGTGTTTCTGTGCATCCTTCCACTGTGAGAAGACAACTCAACACTATGAGTCTGAAAGAATGGGTAGCTGTAAAGAAGCTTTTACTGAGAAAAGGAAACAGACATAAAAGTTTGCATATCAAACATAGAGGATGCTGGTGTTCTCAGAACAATGGACTGACCACGCCAAAGGTCCAGACCACAAGATCACTGAATGTGTCTGAGCATACTTAGATTGTGAGAAGCAAATGTAACCAACTTCTAGGACTGAACTTTGTAGGTGTGGAAAAACATCCAGATTCCTTCGAAAGTTGAAAGCAAGTCTCCCAGCAGGAAAGGAAGCTGTAAAAAAGGCAGAGAATGGACACACTAAATGCTGAAAATGTGATAAGTGATTTTATATGTAATTGTTAGGCCTCTTTGTATTTTTTTGTTTAATATATGTTTTATACTTTTTTCCTTACTGTGAAAAATGAAATACTTGTATTTAATGGACAATGCCTTGAAATAAAATAAATGAAGGGTGGTCTCTGACTTTTGCACAGTAGGATATTGTGAACACAGCAATGGAAACCCCTAAAATGTACTTAATTTACAAAAGTTAATTTTATACACACTGAAGCCTCATCTCTGGAACAAAATGATCTTTCTGTGTAAAAAAATGAAAGGAGTGTTTGTGTTTACACCACAGGAGTTGTTACTGACAGTGTTTAGTATGTGTGCCTGCTATACAACTCCTGAGTTTTGGACAGACATACTGTGAAGGGCATTCAGGTTAAAAAACACCCATAGTATGAAAGTTTGTTGGTGACATTTCTAATGATGTAATTTGCATAACAGATGGTTCGGTGAGGCTCATGGATTCAATTATAATCTTAAAAGGCTATTTGCATGTACTGTGACAGTGCTGCAGGCCTTGTTCTGCAGGCCTCTTCAGTTTGTGGTGGTTTAATAGTTTGAAAGAACTTTTAAACAGAACTGTTACAGATGTGTAATAACTTCTTAAAAACTATAAGAGCTGTCATGAAATGAGGGCTCTAATCTACACTCACCTTTGAGTAAGACTAAATCTCAAAAGAATCTCAAATAAATCTAAAATTCTTTCTACATATTACAATACATAGGTCAAGCAATGATGCACCCATATTGTGCACTATCCAATAGGAAGCTGTTTGCAATTCAGCCCAAGTGAACGTGTTGCCTACAGTTAAACATGCCCAGAACCTCAGTCTCTTTCAAAGTCACAATCAAACCGTATTTGTTAAACAGTATTAGTTACTCAGTGTGAGCTATTAAATGGAATATTTAATAATATGTCCAAAAATAGAGATATTAGAAGCTAAAATACATAAATAAAAAAAACAACAACCAATCATGATCTCATGAATAGAAAAGAAAACTTTGCCTTGTCAGTCTGTGTTATCAAACCTTTATTCTGTCCCCGCATTGAGTTTAGCACTGACACTTTGAATTTTTGAAAATGTACAGCTGTAATGTGCAGAAATGAAATGGATGCTGCTGATGCAGTTACACAAGGTAAAGCAGGATTTGGATGAATAGCTAAGACATCACACCAGTGCACTTGGCCAAACACAAGCCTGTTGAAATATTAGCTGAAAATCGCAGAGCTATGTATTGGGTGGTGGGTTGTGATGGAAGTTTGGAGCTCCATATTGTGGTCTTCCACATGGTCAAGATCATGGAGCTAAAATGACAAATGTGTATGCCTTAATTCTTCATTTCAAAAGCAGTCAGTGTTGCAGTGTGAAACAGTGCAAGTGGCAGCAATTGCATTCCCTCTAATGTATTTGCAGCAATGAAGCCAGATTCATTAATTACTATAAGGTAATGATGTACATAAAGTTGATACAGGCATGTATTCAGAGCAAGCACTGTGATACTAGCTTCAAAATATATAGCTTTATATTTTAAAGAATAATTTAAATGGAAATGGAAATTTTGTATGAAAAGAATACAAATGTAGCAGCATGTTGGAGAAATAAAAAAATCAATGTTCATAAGGAAAAGGTGGCTTCTTTCAAAGGTTAAGATATTAATAAAGGGGCTGTGAACAATTGAGAATAAAATAGGAAACTATAGTAAGCCCTCCTAAACAGAGCTCTCCTTACAGTTAATAACACGCTATTCATACAATAATAGAGGTTACAGTGACTATTGTGTGGTAGTAGTGTGCTTAAAGTGTTCATGATTTGCGTGAAGCGTAAGAGGCAGAGGATGAGTGCTGGCACAGTAGCTGTAGGTGTTCATGATGTATTATTGAGATGTGAGAGTTTAGTTTGTTGACTATGGAGCAGAAATATCAACAGGGCTGAGTTTAGAGTGCTTTGTCCTCAGTGCTGGAGCCTGATGAGTGCAGCTTTACTGTGTCCCATTGTCGCTGCCTTCAGCTGTGTTTCCACGGTAACCTGGCTGAGAGCAGAACAAGACAGCAGCAAAGAGAGAAATCACAGCCCGCACTCATACAACATACTGACATTTTAGGGGGGGCAGCAGTGTCTTTAGGTAGCCACAATACACACACACACCCATTTTATACAATGTAAGGATGGGGGGGCAGCCATGTGTGTGTGTATATACGTATTATGCATATATATATATATATATATATATATACATATATATGCACACACACTCACACACACAGAATTGAGACCACTGCAGAGAAAAAGTTAGCCATTTTTCATTATTAGGAAAAAAGCAGAAAACATAATATTTAACAGAAAATTACACAGAAGCCTCAATAACTAAATATCCTTTATTAGTTTTTCAAAGAAATGTGAAGGGTAATTTTTTCCACATCTCCAAAGTTCAGACTTAAAAGTTGGTTGAACTGATGACTTCTCACAATGCAAGCAATCCAAAACACATACAGTGATGGTGAGGTTCTGACAATTTATAGTTCTGACAGTGCACAGTTTATAGCTCTGAAAACAGCAGCAAATTATTAGTTTGACTGGCACACTTTCTTCTTTTTTCTTTTTTTTCTGTTTCTTTTTCTCAGTATCTGCTTCTTGAAAGCTACTCATCCTTTCAGACACATAAGACCAGATGTTTTATTTATTTTTATATTTGAAGCAAGAGTGAAGCTCTAACCTCAGAAACAGCTCCTGAAAAATGAATAGCTTGTACTTAATGGTCATTGTGACTGGAAATGAAGGGTAGTCTTTGACCTTTGCACAGTACTGTATGTGAGTACCTACATGTAATAAGACTTTCCTAAGCCTAGACCTTACACCTAACTCCAATCTGAACCTCAATATCCAAATAGAAATGGTTTTATCCCTTAAGTTTAAATCCTTTAAATGTCCATGAACTTCTGGCAGATTGAGGCCTCCATTCTACACTTCTGTAACTTAAGAATAATTCAGTCCATTTGAACTGTTTTTATGTAATTACTGAAAAAGAAGGCTCAGGCTGTAATGTTAAGGGGATAAAAATGAAATATTATTATTTAGTTATTAATCTTAAGACTTAGAGTTCTGTATCTATGTGAGTGAAGAACTGAAATGTGGACCACATAAGGGTTTAGAGTTTAAGAGTTTATGCTGTGTTTTCAGTGCTCTGTCTGGTAAAGACAGTCCAACTTCCTGTGTTCAAATTGTAAGTGCAACGGTCTCTGAATGCTGTAATTATGGGAGTACAGACATCATTTTAGATTCAAAAGGAGAAAGAGAGTTTTGGCTTTCTTCAGCAGTGGTGCTGAACAAGTACAGCTCACTGAGGAAAGTGCCAGAATATGAGTGTGTCTGTGTGAGTGAATGTCATCAGTGAAGTCAAAAATGCGCAGGAAGGCAGGCGTGTGGGTGTACTAAAAGTTCTGTGAGAAACGTGAGAGGGTGTGTGTATACAAGACTGTATAAAAGACTGTATGTGTGTGTGTGAGCGAGAGTTAAAAAGGTTTACAGAGTGTGTGTGGGAGGACTGTGAGTGTTGTGTTATAGAGATGTGTGTGTGTGTGTGTGTGCTACAGTGTGTGAGGGCATGGTGAGAGCCATGTGAGTGTGGTGC